AGTTAAAAAGTAGTTAAAAAGCCTTAAAAAATAGTTAACTTTAATCACGTAGTTAAGCCGGTTGTATAAAGTGTAGTTAGCGCTAACTGCAGTTAAAAAGTAGTTAAAGTTAACTATGCTTTAGGGTATAGTTAACTGTCCAAAACGTAGTTAAAAATGGCGTTTGTATAGGAGTGAACAACATTTTTCAGTAAAACAACAATGAAAAGCAACGGTTACCTAAGATTTTCAATCGCTATCTTCCCTGTGAATGTTTCCTGACAATATAAACTCTTCAAACGCTATCGCTTTGGTGTTTTTACGAAAATAGAACATATTTTTGCACAGGACGATTTCTCGAAGACGAAGTATGGTCCATTACACCAAGAAACACTGATATATAATTGCCAAACAGCTATACCTTTGTTTAACATAGGCATCTCAAGGAAAAACTGCATTCTTTTATGATTTTTGTGGCGGTTTTTCCTTGTTTTCTTGTATATTTTTCACTGTTTTCTAGTGTTTTGAATAAAATTCCCGCCTATTTGCAAAATACGAGTCCACAATCATGTTGAAAATGTCTGTCAGCGGTCGTTACTCGGCTTACTTTATGTAATTTTGTGTTTAAACGCCCCACGCAAGCCCCACGCACAGTTAACTACGTGATTAGTTAACTATCCGACTAACTACGTTTTGTGCAACGCAGTTAAGTCATGTAGTTAACTAATTACAGTTAAGGATTTAACTACCGTGATTAACGCTAAATACAGTTAGCGCTAATTACGTTTTTATACAACCGGCCCCTGATGAATATCATGAATATAATGAACTGAGTATAATGAACATAATGAATATAATAAATATGATGAACATAATGAATAAATATATTAATGAACATAATGAATATAATGAAATAACCAATATAATTTTGTGAATATAATGAATTGATGCGAGTTTCTGTTGAACATGCAGTGATTCCTGCAAAATTGCTACCACATGCTACATATAGACTATATGCAGAATTATTTGAGCGTAGTAATTCACATGCATAGACTTCATTAATACAATTTTAAAGTTGAGGTTATATGCGTATAATAATGTAACGCTCATGCCCCAGTTACAAATGGTATATACGTGATGTTTGCACAAAGCAAATTTAGCGATGCAAACCTACAAGAAACTTAAATTAATTTTCTCACTTATGTATGCTTTGCAGATCATTTTTCTACAAAGATTTATCTACATATACAGATGTTTTGCGTAAATGTAAAATAATTAAATTAAGGTGGCTCCCTACAGTTCTCTACAATTCTAGGTATTTTGAGGAACGTTCGCTTTGAACCGAATTTATATTAGATACACTTAAGACAAGGCAATATGATCATTTCCAGGAAAGTTCAGAAGCTGTGTGCTGTCCATTTATGAACAAATTAAAACAGTGTTTGTGTTGCCATGGCAACCATGATGTTTAATCTTTTGCACTTTTATTGTCTAATTTCACAATAAATTGACAATATCTATATTTTCCTTTGGTGAATTTTTCTGAAATATTTTTTGAAGATTTATGGCCCATAAAGGACTAACATATCAAAATTTGAAGGGCATTTACAAATAAGTTTTCGAGATATTCGTGAATGACGGTTACAGAAAAAGTTATTTGTAGAATTTCTTAAAATTTGGATATGTTGTACCACTCGTCTTGTATAACAAAAATACAAAGTTTAAAAAAATTTCACCGAAGAAAACACGAGAAAATGATCGCTAAAATCGGCGTGGCCAGCATGAAAAAAAATCGACTCGACATGAGCACGATCTGCGCATGCGTGTAAATTGTAGCGTGTGATTTATAGTGATTTCAACTTTTTGGCTTACAATACATACGAAAACAGATATTTCTGACTTGTTTGACATGAAAATAAAATATTAATCTTGAAAATACTAATAAAAAACACTATTATACACATTGTATTAAATCCAGTGTTAGTTTACATTTGTTTTTGTTGTTAAAATCGGTGTGAAAACTTTTCAAAACATCGAACTACAAGTTTAACTTTTCATATAAAACAACTCATAACTGTTTTATTTGATTTAGCAGATAAAACGATACCTGTGAATTGAATTGATTGACAGAACTTACATAAGTTTCGGCGACAGTTCACTACTGTTCAAGAGTTATAGAAGACAGTATCATTTCAGTTTGACAGTTCGCAACACAACAAGTTGAAAATTTTGAGCAATATATGAAAGACAATATGAACGTAAATACGTAAAAACACACTAAAAGATTGGCTAAACTAGTTAATAACATACGTACTGTTCGAATTCACAAAAAAATTAGGATTATAATGAAAAACTGGAGCTTTCTTTGTAGATAAAAACGCCAAAAAACCTCCCGCGGCTTGTTTCAATATTTTTGCCGAACAGTAAACACGACGATTCCACGCGCAGGTCGCGAGGATGAAGTCTGATCTATATAAATCGTATTTAAACTGTACTAACTGTAGGGAGCCACCTTAAGGAATCTTTCTTCAATTGAATCTCTGACTAAAGGCCCGGTTAATACTTGCAATTTCTATTGCGACTTTCATCTTCTGATGCATGTGAACGAGTGGACGAGCTGTTAATGTTCTGGGTATATATATATTATGTACCCTCATCTTAACATTCATAACTCATCCACTCGTTCACATTCATCAGCACACGAAAATCGGACTAGAAATCGCAGCAAAAATTGCAAGTGTAAAGGGGCATTAAGACAGATCGATACCCTACCTTGAAAATCAGTTCGTCTAAGCTAGAAGCCGAATACAGAAGTTCCACTTTTACATCTTTATTGAGCTGACCGTCTTTCAATGATCCGTTGATTTCTTGCAAGATGGAGTACAATGGATTAATTCCAACTCCACCAGCTATGAACAACAATTCTTTAGAATTTTCAGACGTAGAATCGTAAAAAAAGTCGCCACCAACTTTTAACGACACTTTGTCTCCGACATGACACTAAAACAGTCACAAAATCGAAATGTGGGCATGAGCAAGAGGAGAATGGCCACCCTACTGAAATAAAATATAATTCTTCACTGATCTTCATTAAATACTAAGGCGTCGACGGGTCATATAACTGGATATGCTTTCCGAAACTTTCACCGCTCACCCTTAAAAAAAACTTTCATTTATTCGAAATTCGCAATTATCTTTTATTAAGATGGCTCCCTAATGTTTTTTGGCTAGACGAAAATTTACCATTTAGGGCGGATTTTTTTAAGAATGGTTACTGGTCGTAAAGCGAATAGTATCAGAGTTATAGAAAATGCTGCCCGTGATTTTCCAATTGCAGAAAACAGTAAGGAACCACCTTAAGTACTTTCAAGTGCTTTAAGTGCCAGTTTAACTACTTAGTGCCAACTTAAGTCCTTAACTGAAGTACTTAACCTAAGTATTTGAGTACCAGCTTAAGTACTTAAGTGCGGAATTGAGTTTGCCAAAGCGTAAAGACAATCGTTTGGGGGGCAGAAAGTAAATATATATGTTTTATAAACTGTCTCAAGTTGTGTATCATATTGAGTCTAAAATATTTTAAATGTTAAGGCTCATATATCAAATTATCAATATTCTAAAGTCTATGTTTTTGCATACTTTGCATGCAGCAAGGCTAAAATATAAAGGTTTCATAATTTAAACTACAGTATATATTCATAACCCTTCAACAAAAGAGGAGTTGCTCTGTCCAGACTGTTGATCATCCTGTTATTATCTCTTATCCCTTGCGGTCTACCAGGCTAGCCACATGAACGCAATACCTCGATAATCCCGTTCTACAATCTCTTTTTCTAAGTTACTGTACTTCTTAATTGGGTCTTAATACTGCCAACTTTCTAGCAATAATACTTACTCGGGTATCAATAGGAAATTATAGTGTACCTCTGAATGCACCCAATGTGCAGGAGGATGGTCACTCTTTTTCACAGCCAATTCAATTATTCGGTGTTTTTCTAATTTTCTTGGACTGGACTTCATGGAGAATCCTCCAACAGTTTCAACCCCGGGAATCATAAAATCCACCCTAAAATACGCAGATACAGTTTTATAACACTCATTCAACAAATAGGAAATTATCACGATAATTCGTTTGAACAATTTCTTACCAGTGGGTACCCTGGATTCCAGAGCCTTCGACAGTAAATAATAAATTGAAACGTCGCGAAGACTCTGGTTCAACGGGAAGATTCTTTGATTAAACCGCGCCAATCACAAAACAGAATTAGTGGTTTTAGTGCAGATTCTGTACTAAAACAGCTAATTCTGTTTTGTGATTGGCGCGGTTTAATCAAAGAATCTTCCCATTGAACCAGAGCCTTCGCGACGTTTCAATTTATTATTCACTGTCGAAGGCTCTGGAATCCAGGGTAACCAGTGGGGTGTATTATTACTTTGTACTGTACAGTACATGCTGTTTTCTTTACGAAAGTTAAAACAGTTCAGGTACATTTAAATCAATGTAAGTACAGCGTGCCGCATCTGCCTGTTATATTTTGCACGCACAACATAATTATCTGTCACACTGGATTAACACTTCATTTACACCTTGCTTGTTTATAACGAAAAATGTTTCAAGATATACAGTACTCTATGGAAGGTTTTTCTAATAAATGAGTGTGTGCCCGACAAATCCCAACAAAATTTCCAATGGAAATTGCTCCGCCTTATTTTTATATTCTAACAGGGACAGGTACTTGACCAGAGGCCGGTTGTATGAAAGGCTTTTAAGTCGCTGTCCACCGTTTAATTCGCTATCCGTATAGTGCAAGGCCAAGGAATATTCAAACAGTACAAAACTGAATCAACTGAAAGAATACAACACATCTCACAGATTTTGCCATTCCCTTCGACTCTTCGCATAGAGAAGCCAAAAATCTTTAAAGAACTATCGATATAAGTGAACGTGAAACTCAACACTACCCTATGTGGAAATGAAAAGTTTGACATAGCATTGCAAACGAATGGACGAGAAAACTTCAAATAGAAACAACAAACTTTATTACAAAAGCTTAGTGGAATTCCTAAGTTACATAAAGCTTCGAAAGTTCACGAATGCCTACCAACAGCTGACGTATAGGTAAGAAATTTCAGGCAAATCCGGTTTCTGCAGTTAAATTGAAGGTTATCCTATGGATAGTTAAACGCTGTACTAAACAGGCTTCGTATAACTCCATTTTATCAGGCGGTTAACTAGCCGACGGATAGGGAATTTATCCGCTGGATAGTGGCTAAACACCGTTCAAGTTTAACGCCTTTCGTACAACAGGCCCCATGCAGGTGAATTACGAGGGCGCATCAAAACGCTCTACAGTATCACCAGAGGTTGCCATGAAGTCCCAATTAAAGTAATTATGCTTCTATATTTTGTTATGTTGATGTGTAGCCGCATTCTTATCACAGTTGTTATGCAAAGTTGGTGCTTATATAATGCTTCTATAGAATCTGGCAGATAGTTTATTCAGACGCTTATTTGGCTTGCCATGTGCCCTAGAAAGGAGCACATCCAGTTTTTTTCATTTGCACTAGATATAAACTTGGTATTTGAGCAAGACCTAGCCATGGAGAGCCTGTGAAGGTTTATTGTGACCATGACCATTCGCACAATTTCCCGATGGATTCAGTATTTTGCTGATGGCAGAGAGAGTGTTCAAGATGAAGCACGTGCTGGGAGACCAACGACATCTGTGACCGACAGTTCAGTGAAAAGAGCAGAGGCGTTAATTGCAGAAGACCCAAGTTACCCAACTATAACTATAAACACTGAGATTTCTCGCCTTGGAACTTGGGATAGGGTACGGAAGTGGACATACAGTACCATCATCCATGAGCAATTTTGTTGGTCAAAGAAGCGTGCAAGATGGGTCCTTCGTCAGTTGACAACAGAGCAGAGGGTCACAATCTGTCGCAAAATTCAATTGCATCATGACAATTCATCTCCTCGCAAATCACGCCTTACACAGACGTATCTTGATCACAATGGTATCCATTTGATAGAACATCGACCATACTCGGTGACCTCACTCCTTACGATTTCTGGCTCTTTCCAAAAACAAAAGCTACCATTGCAGGAAGGCCGTTTTCAAGGATCCAAGACCTTGCTAAAGCCGTCCATGTAGCGATGAGGGACATACCTACAGTACTTCAGAATACCGCCAATGCTTTCAGGAATGGAGAACGAGGGTGTAACGATGTAATGGAAGTCGAACGAAGCTACTTTGAGGGAATGTGACTGTAATGTTTTAAGTTGTGTTTGAATTATAAGAAATCACGGACAAGTGGCAGAACTTTTTGATCCGTCCTCGTACTAATGGTATTAGAGAGTTTGAGCAAGACAACGAAGTACGAAGACGAAGGCATACTTGACAATATTTGCCGTCTGTACATTATCTTGCTCATACTGAGTTAGACGTCACTGGTGGTTGCACAACGTGTCTTCCCATGTGTTGATGTTTATGAATACTGACCATAATTCTTGCCCTGATCCAGAAAAAACAGCGAGACATGAAACTATATCCCGTCTTTGTCCTTCTGCCTTCGTGCAGAACGAGTTTCACAACGAATTTTGCCAAAATATTCGTTGTGAACGAAGGCAGAAGACGAAGACGGGATATGGATTCATGTCTCGCTGTTTTATCCTGATCAGGGTAAGGATTTGGGTCACCATTCACAAACAGCTAGGCATAAATCTCTAATCTGTCTTCACTCCTGACCCTAAACTCAGAATGTGCAAGGTAATGTGCAAGACAGGCAAAAATTGTCAACCACGTCGTCGTCGTCCGACTTCGTTGTCTTGCTCAAATTCTCTATTCATGTATACTGCGGTCACGACAGGCGAGGTATATAACACTGTATTACAACTTCCCATATAAAGGAAACCATTGCGGTATCATACTGCGGTAATAAAGTCCATAAATTAACTCTACTCTCGCCTTGAATTCCTCTTTAAATGCAAGTCCGTTCGAGAAGTACGTATACATGTATGCAGGTATTAAATTTACAAACTCAAAAGTAGTTTATCACTGGCGTATAAAATACCTCAAAGTACCAGTGTACATATGTAAAAGACTTGGCTAGCAGATTGTTTTTTTGACACATTTCAGGGTTTTCACGCTGGCAATGCAAACTTCCTCATATACTGTACTGTACTATATGATTGTATTGTATGTGACATATTAATCAAACAAACAAAAACGTACATTATACTGTAAACTGCATGTATACATAAAATTCGTGCAACCGTGGTTGATACTTACCACTGTCCAGCTTTAAACTTGAATTCAGAATTTGGGACGTGAATGGCAATCCCCATAACAGTTTTCGAAAGTTGCGTTATGTGCACTATTCTTCCAACAGCAGTAACCTACAAAACAAAAAAGTACACATTATAAAAGGTCAAAGTGAACAATAATTGCTACAAAAATACTTAACGACCAAACATCGTGACGTCCTCTTCAAGTGGGTCTACTGTCGGGTTCGATAAATTCACGTTAATCTTTATACACTGTAGCAGTAAGTAATTTTGCACCGCCCTTTCACCGCATTCAACACAAAGTAAAGCTTTTATGCACTACACACGTAAATTATAAAATGTGTATATATATAATGTAGATCATTATGCGAAGGGTATTGTCATACATAAGGAGAAGTACCCTTCTGTATAGGTACGTGGTTGTTCGAATATCAGTTTAGTTGAAAACAACTATCACTAACTTTGTTACAACATAAAGACATTAAACTATCTCACGGTTTCTCTTGGTTTTGCCACTGTCCTCTCCAAATGTGTGGTGGTGACATTCTCTGACATATGTCTATAAAAATATAATCATATTATATTTTAGCATATACTGTATCATTGAAGTAACAATTGCACTTTAAAGTAAAGGCGGCGTGCTGTATCGTAGAAAGTCTCATATATACAATATTCAATAAGGAATGTTTCCGCCTGTTTTACTAAAATCAGGTAAAGTCAGTAAAACGTTCCTTGCATATCCGTAGCCTACAGAATGCATTAAAACTAGTCGACTAATACTTAGCTAGAAGATCTAAACAAAAAATTCAACCTATTAATATTTCCTGTTGGTGTTTAAAATTTCCTTCCAACAGGGCCCGTGTGCATGTTCGACTATTTCTGCTGCATGTTTCTTGGAAGTAAACTGCTAGAATGATGTGTCAGTATTCACAGGATTGATTGGCACTTGCATACATATATCCCAGTAATGTATATAGCCATAAACAAAATGGAGATCGGGAATGTGCTAACCAGACAGTATTTCATAATCATTTTTAGTGGAAATACGATGTACAATATACACTGTACAATAGGTTACTGTATATAGATATTTCAATAAATAAATATTATAATGAAGCGCATGCAGAATTAACGAGATTATGTGTGCAGTTTAATAGACCCTTATTTCCAGGCTATATCACAATTTATCACCTCATATATGGCAAATGATTATCGTGTTTAATGTTCACATGAACCTTTGTAAAATTTGTAGTTTTGAATGTGAAAATAAAGGCTGTTTACTTTCATGCTGGTAAACTCATAGTATTCAAAAGTGATTTGAACGTTATGCTAATAATTGAAACTTCCGGTATCCAGTTCGCGTACAGTATACATGTCATTCATGGTTTAGTATCCATAACTAAATTAAATATCCTGTGCATATCAGAATACTGGAGATTTCAGATCCTGTGTAATAATGCGGGACGCTGGGAGGAAGCCCAATTCATACAGAAACGGCAAGAAATTTGGGAAAGGGAAACAAAAAGGGCAAAGCTTCAAGCATTCTACTTGGGCAAATACCCGGATGTACTGTAAAACCAACAAAATATATTTTCTCCACCTTTCGGCTTCAATTCAAGTAATCACCCTGGCTTATCGACAGTCCTGACTGTCTTACATGTATTTATGGTGAAAATGTCGTGGAAAATGATAAAAATTTAAACATGCCGAAGTCGTGAACAAAACACTGCTCTTCAGCATCGAATTGAGCCTTTAGTTCTTGCTTGAACTATGCTAAGAATGGAAAAAATCGACGTTTTCAAAGTTGTACTTTTTTCGTAATATTCCCGCTCCTAAGCATCGTGCCTTTACAGTACATCTGGGAATGAGAATTTACATTCGGGCAACGCGAGTTTAGCCAATCAGAGATTGCTCCATTAGGAAGTTTCAACTTTGTCCCTCGATTTTTTGTGCAATGCCAACTCTATTCTCTCATAATCCCTATGGCCTAACCCACTGCTAACCAAGCCCCAGCCTATCCTAACAACTCTCAAGGTCATATCACCGCTGACTTAAAGTACTGAAGTTGCATTCTGCATTCTGCAAAGTACCACAGCCATAAGGTGTTGTTGTTAACAATTGTGGAGGTGAATGCAGTAAAATTTCCATTGGTCCATACTCTTCAGTAACATCTATAGTACGAACACAATGGCTTGATAATGATTTAACATATTGTAAAGACAGTACTTTACAATGCATTTGTACTGGAAATTTGAGATAATCCTAGATATTACAACGGTGCATATTCACCCAGTTCATTTTTTAAAATTTTGCCTGACATTTCAGTTTCCTATACAGTAATCTTTCCCTTTTAAATCTAGCATCAGCGGCAAAATAACATTCATATGTGCATAGACTGTAGAGATTGATCACAATTACACTCATATTAATCAACATATTGTATGCTGCAGCATATATCTGCAGCATATATTATTTCACTTGCACTTAGTAAGCCAGCACTCAGAAACTAATAAAAGTTTAGCCAGGAAAATATTTTCCTTATGCTGTCGGAAACCATAACACCAAGCGAAATAGGGGGAGGGGGGATAAAAATCTGGATGAACATACAAACAAAACAATGATCATATATCTATACAAATAATTTATTGAACATAGAGTGTAGATATTCCATTAAATGTGTTATACGTATAATCCAGGTCGAGTGGAATTTTAAACAATTATCACATATAATTTATGCTATTTAGTGCATGGGATTCCAATTAACACATTCGCCTCGAGCTCGTTATAATGCACTTGTCAGTTGAACTCCCCAGACACAACAGATACTGGTTTAGTAGAATACGCGGAGTGCGTGATCATGGGTATAGCCCCGTACCACGTCACGGGGTGTGGTAGAAAATGCGGGATCGGTAGAAAATGTGGGATGCGGGTAGAAATCGAAAAGAATAAACTCTTTTACTGTATCTCTTTTTTGTTGTAATCTGAAGAGAAACTCTAACAAAATTGTACTGCACAGTCTATAAATCCGCTGCAACCATATCTACAATTATATCTATACACATACGCCTCGCTAGCCACAAACATCCGTATTCGTAGTGAAATGTATAACCTCTAGAATTTCGGTGCGGTACTTGCAAAAGGAAGTGATTTTAAGATGTGCTTTGAATAACCTTTTGGTTTCAGTAAAATTATTTACAAACTGCACTGCTAAAATTGTGTAATTTCACTGTCTATTCACTATTCTTTTGCATCTGCATTGCACAACTTTATAATTATAGTGTTTGAAGCTAATTAGTAATATGAACAGCACTTTGAACGAAACTATATAGTATAGTCGAAAAATTTTGCATCCCTACACCAAGACACCTACGATCTGGATAAGGTAGTTTCTGTGTTCTGGTAGAAGAAAGTGGCGTATGGTGTGGTAACGAACACTAAAGTTGTGTTCGTTCAGTTCTTACACTGCTGAAGATTGCAGTGGAAGTAGAAATTGCTTACTTTGTAACACAACCGTCCCTCATGAACCCATTCCCTCATGAACCCATTCCCTCATGATATTTGAAACAAGAACCAGATGTAGCGGAGGGGGGCATATAACATTGATCACTTTGCGCACGCTACAGTAGCTTGTTTAAAATTGCTCACGCTTGTAATATAACGACATATCTTGCAAAACACTGCTGAAGGTTAATCTGCTTTAGATTCAAATATACAGTTTTAATAAATTGTGTGTTAATATTATGCACTCCTTATTCGGACCAACTTTTGTTTTATTTTTGCATATAATGCACTTGTCGTTTAGTTTATACGTTTTTATCTATGGACACAGCACACCGCATTATACATGTAGCACAGCATCTGGTTCTGTTTGAATTTCTGTTTGCAATTCTGTATTTCTGTATACTTCAGGACAACCATTTGCATAATATAACCTGTTTTTATAAAGTATTTGTAAAAGTAGAACTGTTCAGATTATTTCGATTTCTACAGCACCACGCATTTTCTACCGTGACCCCGCGTATTCTACTAAACCACACACACTGGCGGTTTTGACCTAGACTGTTCATGTGTAAATGACGTCAAAACCCCCAGCCCCCTCCCCCCACTACCAATCAGAAAACAGTTTCCAAGAGAACAATACACGTAGAAATTCTATTAATTAAAAAGCTAGGTTAATAAGAAAACACATGTTTCCAAAAAAAAAGGAAATGGATGCAAGTTGAAGGACCAGATCTAAATGTGTAAAATTAATATTATTTGTTTTTCAAACATGTCAAATAATGACAAGTATCATATTTTGATTTGATTTGAAGCAAATCCTGAGCTGTATTCAAGTGGTTAAGGCAACCACCTTGTAATCAATTACACATACAGCTTTGAACACAGTGCCTCCTGAAGGGTTCACAAATATACATACCTATATACATGTGAGTTTCTGCCAACAAATGGCCTGATTGCAGGTGAGGGCTATACGGGTCAGTTGAAGTTCAGGGTTCAATGATGCAATGTGCACATCATTCTGGACCAAATAGTGAAAATTGCACATTGATCACTTTTCCAAACAATGTGCAAAAAAATTAGACTAGGGATTAATGAACATCCATCCATATTTAAAATAAAGCAAATCTGCTGTTTTATAATTTATAAACAACTAAAAAAGTACTTTTTGTTTGCAGACTGGAATGAGTCAAATTTTAGCCACCATGACAGACAAACACATGAATTATTAATGTCATGCATGTGTTAAGTTTGTATATCAAAGATTGCAAACTATATTTACATGTAAAATGTATTCAAATAATGAAATTATTGCAGTTTGATTGAGTAGGTGTTTGACCGAGTAGCTAAGACAACTAGACAATCATGAACCTATTTTATAAACATTTAGAGAAACAGTTTTTAAAAAAAAACTTACACAATGTTTTTTTCTCAACTAATTCAAACCATGCATGAGTTAGGGTGGGTGTTTCCAAGGTGCAGGTAAGGTTGAAACAAGAAATTTGTATGTGATTATTGTGCACAATGCATTTATAGCATTCTGTTGGATGAATAGCCACAACTGCATCCAGGGTGCGATAATTCGCGTACCAACGTACCGGAGGTACGCCGAAATTACGGTCTGGTACTTCTTTGCTTTTATCCAAGTACCAGATAGGTACATGAGAATTTGCCATTCGCGTACTGACACATTTTCCTTTTAGCAATAACTAGCAAACCTTCCAAGGTATATTCAAAACCGTCAATAACTTTAGCTGCATGTGCATGCAATTCCACACATCCGAGATATGTGTTTTTGGTGTCTACAGTACTTGTACATAGTAAACGCTATATGCTATCGACTACTAGAGTGGAGGATTCACAACAGTAACTGTAAATCTCGAAGATTTCCGAATTACGCTTGTTAACACTAATGTCCATAATGGTTCGATTTGAAAATTGTTATGTTATGTCGTACAAATACCATTAAAGCTTTGTTTCTGCAAACTTGCCCATAGTTTTCGCTTTTAGACCAGTAAACTATTTAATGTGATCTAAACGTTTTAGGCTGTTGGAAATCTTAAGTTTCCTGTTATTAACAATCCAGTAAAATGTTTATCATTAACTAACTAAATGAGTACTGTAAATGCGGAGAATTTAGTTTTACATATGTGCGATATACTGTATTGCGTACCAATAAATGTATTTATTAAATACGGTACATAAAATTCAAAAAGGTTTAATTTCTCCCGTCAAAGACCGTGCATTATATACACGTATGTGCATGTAAAACGCAAGACTCGGAAGTAGCCTTAGGTACACCTTGACTCTTAAAGTTTGTACCAGCTCAAGTACTCGGCAAAAAATTGTTGGAGTACCAGTCAGGTACGGCCAAAAATATTGAATTACTGTATCATACCCTGACAGTGTGCATCATTCTGTGGTTTTATAAACTTCCCACAGCTAGCGGCTGCACTGAAAGTAGGGATGCCTGTACACGTGCCATCATTATCCAACTGGATATTCAGCCAGGTTAGTGAGATAATCCGATCAATATCTGGTATATGGCTGGATATTTCTAAAATCCGAACGGATCCTGGATATTTTTTACATAAAGTTCATGTCTTATTTTCAGGATAAAAAAGTAATAACTATGAACATGAAAGATGTGCTTTACACTTCACTTGGTCGAACTAGGTCTAGAATGCTGGGTTTGGTGGATAATACAAGAGGGTGTTGATGGGGTATATTGTGAATCATGATGCACTCAAATTCAGTTACCGTCAGTCATGAAAACACTAAAAATTTCCGTGAAGCATGAGGAAAAAATAATGTTTATATTTTCAGAACACTTTTCAAAGATTTAACGTTAAAATATCGTTAAAATTTTACGGTTAAAAATTATGCAAAAAAATTTACTGTTTACTGATTTTCAGACACCCCTCCATCTGGGGGTCTATGATATGAGGAGAGTATATATATATATATATATATATATATATATATATATATATATATATATATATATATATATATATATATACACAATTTTTAAAACTTAACCAAATGCAACACTAAGTCCTAGCTGTGGCAGACCAGGAACGGTTGTGAAAAAAATGCCATATTGAACAACTGTTTTTGCCTGCATACAAATCGCAGTCATATACATTCTTAGAAAAAACAACTGACCATTCCTAAAGCCCTGACTGCATGTGTGTAGCAAATACACTTTGCACTGCATCAATTACTGCAGGTTTGACTTCCATTATATATTCTCAAACTCATTAATAATCCATGAGTAATTAAACCAATAGCATGTAAGCATTCCATCACAAGATGCTGTTTGGATACCGCGGTCAAACACCGTCAGACACAGCACCACAAGAGTTTAGCTGCATACGTAATTAAGATATTTGATGAAAGTCACTAGTGTTTTCATCAAATATCTTACGCATGCAAAATTACTTAAATAGAATTTCTAATTACGTTATGCTTGGTTAAAAATTATATTCAAAATCAGCAAACGAAAACATTCTGTAATGTCTCGATTCATTTGAGAAGCCATATAAACAACTTGAGCTCGTGTCTCACCGGGATATCCAAACACTCGAAAACAATCTATGAAATACTTTGTTTTCTCGTGTTTGGATATCCCGGTGAAACACTCGCTCTCGTTGTTCAATATATTACATCAAACTATAAAAGCCTATGAAGGTTTCTTTAGACTCCTAGCCCGATTACAATAATGATTGGGCAAAATAAATAAATAAATAATAACAATAATAGTGCATGCACTGTAAGTCTACACTTTTGATGGTAATTAACCTATTAAGCTGCAGAGCTTTCCCATTGACGAGTAAAATCGTCTGGTGTTAGACAAGTAAAAAAAATAAGTAGGTTGCACTGGGGCGCATTGTGGCTCAATGGGTTAAGATGTCTAAATCTGCTTACTATTGTTTAGGGGCGACATCCATACTCACATTGCCATGCAAAACGTCATTTTGACGTTTTCATTTTGACCCACCCACCCAGTGCTGAAAACGTCAAGTGTATATTGTTATTAAAACTAAAGGGAGGCCTCAAAGGTGTTACCTGTAAGTAATAATGCTTCAAATTAATGCCTATGTAGTTTTAAATAATGATACAAAATTAATACCTATATTAAACATTTGTCGTATTTTCGCGAAAACTCATAACGTATTTTAAAGCCTTTGGTGCAGTGAAATACACAAATACTTCAACTTAACTTCTACATATACATCCAAAATCATCTCTGCACATGTGTTCAATATTTTCTGATATAAAAAAAATCAAACTGCCACGCAAACTTCAAACTGACTCTTGAAAACCCACCCACCCACTCAAAACGTCAAAATGACGTTTTGCGTGGCAATGTGAGTATGGATGTCGCCCCTTATAAACTGCTCAACAAGTATATTGAAACGCCATCACAATGGTGGTTTCCCAACTAAGGCCACTACAAGTTAATCTTTAGTTTCTGGTCCGGCCTTAGGCCACATAAAAAAAAATAGTTGGTTAGCGTCCCCGCCCGCCCACAAAAAAGGCCCCGCTCAGGATTTTTTTTTATTTTTTATTTTAAAAACCCCCGACTTTTATTGATCAACGGGCTCTAATATATGTAGTATTTCTGTTGACAGTAGTCAATTGTGTTAATAATTTGCGAAATTGCGTACGAAAATGACGGTACGAACCTCATTATATTTTGAAATATATAAAAAAATATCTGTACTGCGCAAGAAAATCCAGTTTCGGACCTAACAGTGAGTAAAACCAAGGCGTTAAAAATTAGTAAAAATTTAAAAAAAAAGCGCCCGCCCGCCCACTTTTTGGCAAAAGCTAAGGACGCTAACCAACTATTTTTTTTTATATGGCCTTACCTTCGTTTACGACGCGAGCGGGCGGGTGGTTAGGACTATGAGACATAATTACAACTGTGGCTTTGCCCACATTTTTGTAGTAAAATTTTGACATAAAAATCCATTTCAAAGGAATGTTGTCACCAAAATATTTGGCTTAAAAACTGTATTATGCATTTCTAGGGAGCTGGTTGCAAAAATCTCTTGGAAAATATTTCCAGGGGAGCCAATGAAAAACATTTTCGGAAACTCCAGGATGTTTTGAAGGTCTTCACCCAAAATCACTACTTAAATACTGAACACTGAAAAATATTTGAGTTTTTATCAAATTTGCCAATCTTCATTTGCTTCTTCATCATAACTTGCCCACTCTACAAATGGTAAAAATTGTCAAAAATGCTGTGTCTTGGGCAGGCATTAGCTATTACTTGATTAGTCTATTACAAAGCCATGGTTAGCCTGTCCTCCCATCTAGGTGCATGCTTAACATGATTGGTGCATATAGAAATTATTTTGGAAAAGAATGACACTATATTATTTCATACATACAATAAAATAAATTAAGCATCTGTTAAATTCCAATTATTATTAGCATTCACAAACAACCGTGTTACTACAGCCAAAATAGCAACAAAATATATAAATCATAGACACAGCTGATTGAGCTGAATGCTTATAAATGGAACTACTGAACTTAGTGAACTACAGTAGGCCTACATACAACTGTAATGCATGAGTCAATGTAAACCCCGACTCCCCCCACCCCGGGCCAGGGTGGGGGTTAATGGGGATTGGTAGGGGTTTAGATCAGAAAACACTCCCAAGAGGGTGGGGAATTTTGGAATTCTTCAGGGGTAAAAGGTTTTGAGCTTGGAATTCTTCAGGGGTAAAGAGTTTTGAGCTTGGAATTTTGGAATTCTTCAGGGGTAAACAGTTTTGAGCTTGGAATTCTTCAGGGGTATGACAATGAAAAACATGTATCCTCGACAGGGGGGGGGGGTACGGATATTAAATGGAATAGCCCAATTCCGAAATTACCGAGAAATTAATACTCATTTGAGCCATGTCTAAAGGATTTAGAAGAAATGTAAATGGTATAATAACTTATGTGCAGCTGGATATCGTTGTATTTAATATTTTGTGAAATACTTAGGCAGAAATCAGTCAAGATTTCACTATTTGAAACTATAGCAGTATGGCACCCTGTTTAAATAGTGATAAAAAGCATAAAATGTGAGGGATGTTGGTTTTTTACATTTCATACACGCTATATTAAAAAAATATGATGTACATAGTTCATATTTCACATCGTTCAGGTTGCTGTTCTTTAAATGAATTTTGATTAGAGTTTCTGAATGAGATGCTGAAACAATGTGAAAGTTGGGTATTCTTTACTTTCATGTGTTGTGATGCAACATCTCGGCACATGGTGGTCAACTCTAAAAGGAAACAGTTACCGGTGTGAGTAAATTTTTCACTATATGTCTTGACCTCATGTTTGCTGGCGAATACATGCAATTTAGCCTCATTTGCTTGCTCCCGAAGTCATTAGTGTTGATACATGTAATGTTGACCACCATGTATAACCCTATGTATAACACCTTGATGTTACCAATTGTTTACATCAGAAGGTACATATGTGCAGAACAGACTTGACCGTCTGTTCATCTCTAACCCATTGAGTCGCATTGTGCACTGATGCGCCCTATTTTATTATTTTACTCTGTCTAACGCCAGATTATTTTACTCTGTCTAATGCTATACGATTTTACTCGTCAAGGGGAGACCTCTGGCACTTAGTGGGTTAACTGGCCTATCTGCCCATGATGTATCTAGTTAACCCATTGGGTCACATTGCACCCTACTTTATTATTTTCTGTCTAATGCCAGATGATTTTAGTTGTCAAGGAGAGAGTTCTGGGTTAATATATATTTAAGTAGAATTAGCCTCTTCCACAGGCAACTCTGTATTGTTTTGTATAATAGGCAACTCTGTATTGTTTTGTAATAATACAAAATGCATTTACAATACAAAACAAATAAGAGTTGAAAATCTGTTATACAAAACAATACAGAGTTGCCTGCAGAGGAGGCAAAAATAGAATATGATTTATAACAGCAGATAACATTGAATTGTAGAAATCGAAGAAAAGTATAACATTCAAACAATTGATGTAAACAGTGTATTTTTCAGTCTTTTCAATATATCCACATTTATCAAATGTTCATATTTTACCATTATTTGTCTGACACTCCGGAGCTTAACACTGACACATGTAGGATAATGTATGCTGAAAAAACTGGAGGTAAACAGTTGGGGGGCTGGAAAAATTCTTCAGGAGGGCCTTTACATGCAGCTGATGTAGAATCCAATGGCTTATTATTACCTCTATTACAGGAAACAAAAACCTGAATCTATAGATTCACCTCTGACACTCTGGCCTATATCCTCACTTCTACCTCCAGGGGAAGTGAAATTGTCACACTCGCACATTATTAGTTCCTTCTATGGTGCATATGGCTCAAGAATTTTAACAGTGTCAGTGAAAATGTCCAATGTTTATTCAACCATTAATTCACCCCCAACCCATGCATACACAGGCTGAAGTTATCTGGTATGCCTATATGCACATGGGGAAAATTATTTTGAGTACAAAAATAAAAGGTTGACCAACAATCTTGCTAGCATTTTTAATCAATACACCCAGGGGTGAAGACCTTGGAACTTAAAAGGGACATAAAAATCCATTTCAAAGGAATGTTGTCACCAAAATATTTGGCTTAAAAACTGTATTATGCATTTCTAGGGAGCTGGTTGCAAAAATCTCTTGGAAAATATTTCCAGGGGAGCCAATGAAAAACATTTTCGGAAACTCCAGGATGTTTTGAAGGTCTTCACCCAAAATCACTACTTAAATACTGAACACTGAAAAATATTTGAGTTTTTATCAAATTTGCCAATCTTCATTTGCTTCTTCATCATAACTTGCCCACTCTACAAATGGTAAAAATTGTCAAAAATGCTGTGTCTTGGGCAGGCATTAGCTATTACTTGATTAGTCTATTACAAAGCCATGGTTAGCCTGTCCTCCCATCTAGGTGCATGCTTAACATGATTGGTGCATATAGAAATTATTTTGGAAAAGAATGACACTATATTATTTCATACATACAATAAAATAAATTAAGCATCTGTTAAATTCCAATTATTATTAGCATTCACAAACAACCGTGTTACTACAGCCAAAATAGCAACAAAATATATAAATCATAGAAACAGCTGATTGAGCTGAATGCTTATAAATGGAACTACTGAACTTAGTGAACTACAGTATGCCTACATACAACTGTAATGCATGAGTCAATGTAAACCCCGACTCCCCCCACCCCGGGCCAGGGTGGGGGTTAATGGGGATTGGTAGGGGTTTAGATCAGAAAACACTCCCAAGAGGGTGGGGGATTTGAAGCTTTTAGAATTTATTTATCCCCAGGGTAAGGGGATTGGGTAGGGATTAGTAATGAGCCAGTTGTTGATTTTTCAGCGGTTGTTCATCTCAAGTGGCGTTTTATCGTCTAGCTCGTATTATCTTTGCTTTGTGTGCTTTTTGTGCCAAACCTTTTTCAAATGCAATTCATAGTAGTTCATTGCAGTCCATACATAGTTATTTGAAATGTAAACTGTTTTAGGAGTGTTGAATTAAAAAGTCTTAAGTTACGGCAAAGGCCCCAGGTACAGGGGACATTTTTTGACATTCGGAACTTGTAATAGTCACCAGGATGTGGGGCATTTGTGAATATTAGAACAAGGTCAAAGTCAAATCCTGGGGTGGGGGAGGTCGGGGTTTACATTGACTCATGCATAAAATATCAGTATAAAGTTGTAAAAATAGATTAAGTCATTAACTATATTCTGAATTCACATAACAATTGCTAATGTAACCCCCTGCACTCTTAATTCCCGACTATCAGACAAATAGCAAAAAATAGCATGAATGTGTTAAGTTTTTAATAGTCAAAAGATTCACACCGTACCTTAAGATAGAAAACTTTTGCCGTTTGTCAACCAAATTCTTTGTCAAGCAAAGCTTCTTTCTTTCCACAAAAGATCCACGATATTTTACACAAATTTACAGGTATATTAAAGCTAAACTAGCCAAGCAGGCTAAGCCCATAAACCAAAATATGGCTAAATATTTACAATTCCCACTCATATGAAAACAATTTTGTTGAAAAAAAAGAAAAAGAAACTGCAAATCTCTCACAGATTTACCTCTTCCCATAGGCAAACTTGAAAATAAAAATAATTCAACAAAAATGAGCGAGATTTCAAACAATATCCTTGATTTCGAAACAATTTTTTGCGATCTTTTTAGTAAAAAATGCCCGCCATTTTGTAAGTTTTCGGGGGGGTGAATGCCTCTCCTTAGCGCACTGGCTAAGCTTTTGGTTACACTCAAACATTAGCGTTTCGTAATACAGTTACACCTCTGTCCAGTATCTACTCTGTGCTAATACGGAGAAAGGACGCGGGCGGCGGACCAGAAACTAAAGATTAACTTGTAGTGGCCTAACCAACTTATTTCAAATGCAAAATATAAATTATGACTAAAAATCTGAAATATGAAGGTTTAAATTATTCATCGACACCTTCAGACTTCGGAATTATTTACTGCTATCGATATTAAACAAATGTAGATTGTAAACTTACCGACAAACTGTTCTAAACTGTCCAAAATGTATGTTTAAAAATGCTGCATGTAAATTTCGATATAAAACGTTCATTGCCTTTGTGTTTTTTGCAATATGTGAGCCAGCGAATTTTGTCGGTAGACTGAGGTACTTCATTTTATTCATAATTTAGTCAATTGTGTTGGAAATGTACAGAAATAGTCAAAACGCAGTTTATCAGTGGTGTAGAACTGAAATGATAACAAGGGGGCTCTTATAGTGACGAAGGTGGTGGGGGTATGTCATGTTAGCGCCACATACATGACCTAAAAGTATGATCATAGTAATTGCGTACAGATTACTAACATCAATAAAACTGAGGCCCTGACGCGTATTATCAGTCTGTAAAGTTATGATTGATAACCTACACTACAGTATATAGTATATACTCCAGCGATTGATCACTTATAATTCTTGTTTCTCTGTGGAAACACTGGGAAAACCTTCGCTTCTTGAACCTGAATTGTATTTAGTTTAAATTCGCGTGCACGTGCATGCCCTCTTCACTGTTAAAGTGCTATAATGAGGGTGGGAAAGGGTATTTTCGTGAGCCGTGAATGGTCAATATTTGTTCGCGTGAAATGTGAAATTCTTGATTTTAGTGTCGTGAAATGTGATTTGTTCTACAGCCGTGAGGCGTGATTGTTGATAAAAATGATACGCGATAATCAAATTTATATGATCTCACTCGATTGCACAAGAGTAAAAACTCAGTCGGAGGCCTTTCGCGAGGTTCCTGGCGCTGAGGACGAGGTTCCTGGCGCTGAGGACGAGGTTCCTGGCGCTGAGGACGAGGTTCCTGGCGCTGAGGACGAGGTTTCTGGCGCTGAGGACGACGTTCCTGGCGCTGAGGACGAGGTTCCTGGCGCTGAGGACGACTAGGTTCCTGGCGCTGAGGACGAGGTTCCTGGCGATAAGGACACGCGCAGAGGTCGTCGTACATTCTCGTCACTCAAACTTGTAAGTTATGATGTAGAGTTTAACTAACAGGTAGAGAAATTAGAGAACTTAAAGCGTAGATACTGTACCATGCATTAAACATAGTCTTAATAAACCTATTATTATTATATTATTTTATAAGAATTTAGTTTTTCGTGAAATTGCTTTTTTAAGACACGTGCCGATCGTGAAACGGCTTTTTTTTTCATTGTGAAACGTGATCCATAACCCCACCTTTCCCACCCTCTATAATGCCAACATGCAAGGTGAAAATTAACTGTCTAGTCATATATCTAGAATGAATGAAATAAAAACGATGTCAAGAAAGTGAAGACTCACTCATTCGAAGTCTGAACAAATTTTTCAGTGTTTGCAGATGCTCTATGAATTTCTGATCGTAGGCAAACTGTTCTTCGAAGTTGCTGGCGTGTAAGACCATATTTCTGCATATTTTTATCCTATACGTCTTAGTTCAACAAGAACGTCGTTTTCGTGATAGTAATTTTGTTGTGGTATTTGTACTTCAGGTCCAGAAATAATGAGTAAACTCGCCGGAGAGTCAGAAAGCAATCTCAGAAAAGGTGAGTGTTTTCGAAGTGGTCTGTACCACAGTCACTTATATTACTTCCTGATGTAGCGGCACAGAATAAGGCACACAGAATGTAGACACGAGTAGCCGCTGCGACGCCATGATTCATCATCAAAATGCTGACGCCATGGTCCTAGCCAGTGCGCGTTTGAGAAGCTTTCAATCTCGAACGGTTGGATCGTCGAATTGGAATTCATGGGGGCGTCTGCACGTTTGTTTTCCAATTCGAAATATATATATATATATATATATATATATATATATATATATATATATATATATATATATATATATTTCGAATATATAAACATAGGCTATATAAACATAGGCTATTTTATCTGAAGAGTGCCACGTTATTTACGTGGTACGAAACTGTATAGTAATAAATATGCCAAATAAAGCTTGCTAAGTTTTTGTGTCTTTCTATTATGCTCTGGCTATCCATTGAGCACTCCATCATTGGTTTTTATAACTCTACACAAACTATTTTATATATATATATATATATATATATATATATATATATATATATATATTCCGTTTATATAACTTGGAGTGTCCGAATTTGGAAGTTATGTGGGTTTATGTACGGCCTGCCAGGTTACTCAGAGGTGTTTCGTGCATAGTTATTGTTACTATCTACCACCTCCCGTCTTCAGACCATAATGAAATCTTGGAGTACTTAATTGCATCACTGACCCGGGTTGAGAGTCTCTACCCTGGTTGTGGTTTAATTTTGGCTGGTGACTTTAATCGCTTAGATATAAAACAGTTACGCATCAATTTTGGTTTAAAACAACTTGTGAAGATACCAACAAGAGGGGCAATACACTTGACCTAGTGCTCACAAACCTAGATCGTTTCTATCTATCGGACTCCGTCATCGAATTTCCTCCCTTCGGCCTTTCTGATCATTCTGTAATTGCTGTCTCTTCCTCGAGAAGCGATATGAGACCTTCACGCAAAGCTATGTTTGGGCGATATTTAAGCGAAATTGACTGGTCTTTCCTTAACTCACTTAAATCCGTTGAGGTGAAAAACCAACTGTCCACCGATATGCCATCCTTTGGATTATTCTATATATTGCCTGAAAAACGCCTTTTGCTTCATTCCAACGACCACTCGTGGATCAACAAGGATCTGCGTCGTCTCAACTTCGACAACGTGTCTTTTTCTTCGGGAATGACATCCTCTTCAAATTCTATCGAAATAGGGTCAATAGGAAATGGAAAACTTGCAAGACTAATTATTATAAGACAAAAGTAGATAATTTAAAACAATCTAACCCGAAACACTGGTGGCGCGAAGTAAAACGCATTAGTGGAATGGTTTCACATTCAAGCCTACAGAATTGTATCCAATCAGAAAACTTAGAACACCTGCCCTTGGCCGATTTGGCTAATGTTATGAACAACGCCTTTCTATAACCCATGCAGCAATTTGATCCTTTCAACCCTAATGACGACCAAACCAATAGTATGTCTGATCAACCTCTTGACATCGCTACACCGTGGGAAACATACAATAAACTTAAATTACTAAGTACCTCTAAAGCACCAGGTCCTGATGAAGCCGTTCCGAATTTTGTCTACAAGGAATATGGCGAGATTTTGGCATGACCAATCTCTAGCTTGATCAACTGTTCACTCCGCCATCAATTATTACCAAGTTTATGGAACCAGTTGGCGAACATTATCCCAATTCCAAAGGAAAGGGTTGTATGCGACATTAATAAACACTTAAGACCCATATCTCTTACTTGTTGTCTCTCAAAACTGGCTGAAGAATTTGTCATTGAAAAGTTTGTCGCCCCTGCCATCCTGAAATGCATAGACTCTCACCAGTTCGGAGGAATACCCAGGTCATCTTCAACTATTGCCCTTATTAGCATGTTGCACAGCTGGGCTAATGCAACCGATGGTACTGGAAATTCCGTGCGAGTCCTTCTGGTCGATTACAGGAAGGCTTCTAATCTTATAGATCACTCAATCTTGATCAACAAAATTCGCCAACTGCCCATCCCAATTTATATCATATTAGCTTTTTAGCTTTTTGTGTGGTCGGAAACAACGCGTGAAACTTGCAAAGGACTGTGTTTCTGAGTGGGGTAATGTCACTAGTGGCGTCCCACAGGGCACAAAGTTGGGACCTTGGTTGTTTATTCTCATGATAAACGATTTGAAGCTAATGGACATCACCCACTGGAATACATCGATGATACAACAGTCTCGGAAACTATCCCAAGAAACGAAACCAGCCAAATCCAATCTGGAGCTAACGAACTTGAAATGTGGAACTTGCAGGACAAATTCCAATTGAATGTCCAAAAATGCAAAGAGCTTTTGTTTCAATTCCACAGAAATAGAGTATCCTTTGATAATATCCATCTTCTTGCGGGTTGTCCAAACCTGGTTCGCCAAGCTAAAATTCTAGGTGTTACGATTAGTGATGATTTAAGATGGTCTATACGCATGTCCTAAACATAATAAAGAATGCCAACAAGAGAATCTTCTTGATAGTCCAATTAAAACGAGCTAAAATACCAGCCAAAGAAATTCTAAACTTTTATTTTTGCTGTGTCAGACCGTTTCTGGAATACACTTGTGAGGTATTTCACTTTGCTCTGCCTAAGTATCTCAGTGATAACATATAACTAGTCCAGAGAAGAGTTACATCCATAATCTTTCCCGGTTTGTCTTACAGCGATCGAGCGTTTGGACAAAGCTAACTTGACACTCTTAAGCGATCGTCGAAGGTATGCCTGCTCCAAACTATACAATCAGATAACTAAGGACCCTGCACACAAGTTGTCGAATTTGTTTCCTGCACGTCCTCCTATCACCAATGACTTGCGTAGTGTACGTGTTTCCAAACACCAGTGATTAAAACTGATAGATTTTTAAAAACATTTATTCCTTCTTGTATTAAAATGTATATGCAATGCAAATTTCAATTTTGTGATTTTTGCATTATCTAAAATTTCATCTTTTCTGATCATTTTAATACCAACCTTGTTGAATACTTCGAACTAGAAGTTTTTGAATTTTGCGTTTAAAGTTGGGCTATCAAAATTTTAGCTGATGAAATCCTCGCGCGGCCAAGAGGTCATGATGACGTGTGCAGTGTGACGCACAGGCCCGTAGCTGGGGGGGGGGGCAATGTCCCCCACTCGGTGGGACAGTGCCCCCCAGTGCCCCCCCCCCCCTTGGAAATCGGGTATGAAAAATTGAGATAAAGGGCCTGGGAACCAATTGTAATAATGGAAAAAATTCTGTAAATTTTGTGGAAAATTTTGTGATTTTTGAAAAATTTAGTTAGATTTCGGAAAAATGTAGTATGTCCGGAAAAATTTTTATGTCCGGAAAAATTTTTTGACCCCTAAAATGGTACATTGACCGAAATTTTTTTGGCGATCATACTCACGCGATCATACTCACGCGACAGAGTCCGAGTGAAGAACCATTTATTTGACTAGGTTAATTTTATTTTATACTTATAAATATCAGCTTACGTAACATATACACTTTTTATCACGTTCTCAGTTCTCTGCTGTGATTATTTATATCCAGTGTTGCTTTGAGACGGATAC